ACTAAAACAAACTGCAAACTACAAACTCGTTATACCTACCCGTTCCGCGTTCAAGAAAATTCCAAAAGCCCCGGCGTATTTGGATCTTAATTCTGAAAGACGGTGAACTTTATTGTGTTGTCGACAAACTGTTGATGGCCTGGTTTTCTTTCGCAGTTTGGATCACCAAAGGGAATGCGTTCAGAACCTGGCAGGTGCTGACAACTTCATCAAAAGTCCCATTCTCGCCCGTAAACTAAATTAGGGTAAAAAGAGGAGCAAAGATAAAACAAAAGTGATTGGTTTGAAAAGTGTTGAAATCCAAGCTACCGAGAAATTACCTTATAGCACATCTGCACCTGATTGCCAGCAACCCAACCAGCACCACACATAAACTAAAAAAATCTGGGATCAAAATATTTGCTTGAAGTAACCTAACGATCAGTATTCTCATCGCTTTTTTAGCAGAATTTAGACAGATTTAAAAACGGAAAACTATTTTTTAAACCCCTAAATTTGGTCTGGGAAATCCGCAATTGTATGTCTTTTTAATAAAACGTTGCAAAGCGTAGAAAACAGTAGTACTCTTATTTATATCATAAAGAATGCAGATTAAGGAAAAATTCGGATTAAAAAAACCGGAAATCAAATTTTTTTAAAAATTAAACCTAAATTTGGTCTGGGAAGTTTGGGCGTTTTTGACGTTTTGGGCGTTTAATCGTTTTTTGGTAACCAAAAATAACCTCCGGCGGCTTGGTGGGCGTTGATACTGGCGGCGGCACAGCCGAGCAGGCACCGGTCTCCTCGAAACAGCCATTCTCCGCCAACGCCAACCCCTTCGAGCTGTTCAGATACACGAAATCAGGCTCCGCCATGCCGGCAATAGCGGAAAAGCATTGCTGCGTCGTCTCTCCTGTTGTTTCATTCACAGTGGTCTCAACAACAACTCCTAAGCAGACGCTCGATCTGCTAACACAACTTTCAAAGCACTGGTACGTCGGCTGATCGGCCGTGTTCCCGGGTACGCGGACAAAGTAGTTGCTCTTGCTAACGGATGAGACCGATGCCTGTGCGTAGACGCTTACGAAATATATTAATAGAAACGTAACATGCATCGCCGCGAATTTCCAGTGTAGAGTAGGCGTGGAAAACCCGAAATTCTCCCTACACCCAGCAGTAACCTGGCAACAACAACCTGGCAGTGTTCGGTAATTTTTTCGAAATCTCAACGTTACCTCAGACTTTACGTGGGCTTTGGTTGTTCATGGTAACTGGTGTCCCCGCAGTTACATATTTTGTTTAGTCAATAGTTTGTTCCGCTTTATTCAAACAAGGAACGCTTCATCTCTTCGGCTTCTCGCAAATGCTACGCTCTCCAGCCGCATCGCAGCGTATGTCATTCCAAATCCCCGAATTCGCGCGTCCTCGAAGGATGAATATCTGAAAAGACAGAGATTTTTTACGTAGTAAATGCTTATCCTTTTTGCCATGAATAGCAGATTCCCAGGTAGTAACTTACCTCTAGACAATTCTCGATTCCCCTCGTATTCGTCATCTGCCCAGCTCCATAGTCACTATATGTAATGTTGGTCCCGTCTAGCTATTGGAAATCGAGTGATCCGGTGCCTATCTGAAAAGACCGAGAGAGGATGAGACAGAGAGAAAGGGCGAGAGAGAGAGAGAGAGAGAGAGAGAGAAAGAAAGAGAGAGGCGTGAGATAGGATAAAGTATTATCCGCTGTGCCGCAAGATAAAAGTTTCCCTGAGCCACCGTACTGTTCGTCCAGAGATCTAAAATGTGTGTAGGTTCGTGCTTGTTTTAAACCAAAGCTTCGAAACCATAGGCTTGATTTGTCATGAAAAAGGCATTAATGATAGTTACGAACAAGTGAGTATCACATTTAACTCACCCATTATAGCCTGATTCTGCTCGGCGGATCGAATTATTGTCACCGTTGAGTTCATACGGGCGCAGTCAGCTACTGCTTGGTTTATCGTGCCTGCTCCAAGGAACTTAACAACTGTGTGGAATAATAAATTCAAAGGATTTCGTTACATTTCAATCACTTAATAATCAGACAAAGAGTTTGTTTCCGGCCAAATCAGTTACCTTATAGCATTTATCTACCGTATTCGTAGAGCTCCACCCCAAGTCGCAGGGGCTCTAGAAAAAGAAAAGGAAATTTATAAGGCCGAGTATAGGTGCGGAGCTATTGAAGAAAAACGTAGTAATAAAACGATACCTGCGCCGGATCGCTATATTCACAGGTCCCAGCGCTGAATTGAGCTTGGCTCGCTGCTGCGTTCCCGGAGGTACTATTCATAAACAAATAATCTGGGTCCCCATCGGTAGGGCCATATATTTGGCAGGTGCTATCTAAAAGGTCTTACGTGGTGTGATAATCTGTCATACCGTGCTTACTTATATATTGGTCCCACAATATTAACATACCCTCTATTACAAGGACTTGCCGGAGTAAAATCAGTCAAAAATTCATCATACAATTCGAAAAAATGTGGATAGGAGTTTTGCGTATATTTTAGATCTATTCTTATGAAGATCTTTTGAAAACCAAAAACCGGCGAAACCAGAGGGATCGCCCAAATCCATTAATTTACCTATTTGGGTACTTTGGGCAAGTGAAAAACACGTAAGATTACTTACCGATACCCTTACAATCTTCGCCTTGCCTCGCACACTGTTGGAAGCAAGTATCAGCCGGCTGAATTATTGTTCGACATGGCCACCTCATAAAATAGTTTTGTGCTGTGCTGATCGATAACATGGATGAGAATACAAGAGAAATGATGAGGTGGTCCATGCTTTTTCAGGGCCTCCGATTGCAAGGGCCATTTGGCCCTTATCCATATGTCTTTCCCACGCTGTCGTCATGGTTGTCCGAATGAAAATCAGGATCACTATAAATCGGGCATGCGGTTTCTAGGTGTAATGCGTACTTAATCTACCACTGTACCCTTTAATAGCTTTTTTATCGCTACGGAAATTTATAGCCTTTGAATAAGTTAAAAGATAACCAAGCCATTCGTTTTTAAAAGTGTAATAAAATTTTTCTTTAATTGAGACCTTGATTAATTAATTTATTTTTCCTCCTTGGACATTATATTTCATTATGGCTCCGATTCTCGTTGATTTTTTGGGGTTATTTTTTTGGGCAAAGAAATAATTACTTTTTGTATCCTATCCTATAAGCGAGAAAAGTATGTCTGTTTTCTGTGCAGCCGATTTCTCGGCCGTCAGGCCGAATTTTGCGCTGATTTTTGGCATGGAGGTGGAGAAACACATCCTCTTTATAGGCATTTTTTTGTTTTTCGAAATTCCCACATTTAAGGATTTTACAAACAAAATAGTGAAAAACCCTTAACATTTTGGCCAAAAAAAGGTTTGTTCAGAGGATATCTCGCGATCCAAAAGGAATTCAGCGTCAATTTTTGGAGGTTAGATTGAAAATCGAATTCTCCCGATATATAATTTTGCGTTTTGTCAGATTTTGTAAAATAAAATTTTTATGTGCGTTTTTCTAAAAAGTCCTTAACAAAGTGGGCTGCGCGCCGTGGTGTTCAGTCCATAACTCGATGCCCATTTGGAATTTCGGGCTGGAATTTAGACAACTTATGTATTCGATAGTGGGGATCACGCGCATCTTATTATCGTTACAAAGTTTCAGCAGATTCATACGCAAAGATCGAGTTTTGTAAAGCGACCAGGAGGCCGCCCGCCCGGGATCATTGGGACGCCGTTTTCTTTGCCACCCCTCCCCCCGGCCTCCCCAGAAAGAAGAGGCCTTTCAGGCCACCTGTTCCCATCATTCCTGTGGTGTAGTGGGTTTGCGCCCGGTCTACTACACGTATGGTCAGGAGTTCGGGTCCTGGGAGAATCCAACTTTTTGCTTTTTGGTAGTTTAGCAACAAAACGTATTTCTAGGCTCTCCATGTGCGAGGTTTAGGCCTGACCGTCGCTCTAGCGCCGCAGGCAAAAGAAAAGGCCCTTGGCCCAGGCTCTCGCACCGCAGGCCAACGATGGGTCCTTGGCCCAGGCTCTCGCGCCGCAGGCCAACGATGGGTCCTTGGCCCAGGCTCTCGCGCCGCAGGCCAACGATGGGTCCTTGGCCCAGGCTCTCGCGCCGCAGGTCAACGATGGGTCCTTGGCCCAGGCTCTCGCGCCGCAGGCCAACGATGGGTCCTTGGCCCAGGCTCTCGCGCCGCAGGCCAACGATGGGTCCTTGGCCCAGGCTCTCGCGCCGCAGGTCAACGATGGGTCCTTGGCCCAGGCTCTCGCGCCGCAGGCCAACGATGGGTCCTTGGCCCAGGCTCGCGCCAGGCCAACGATGGGTCCTTGGCCCAGGCTCTCGCGCCGCAGGCCAACGATGGGTCCTTGGCCCAGGCTCTCGCGCCGCAGGCCAACGATGGGTCCTTGGCCCAGGCTCTCGCGCCGCAGGTCAACGATGGGTCCTGGCCCAGGCTCTCGCGCCGCAGGCCAACGATGGGTCCTTGGCCCAGGCTCTCGCGCCGCAGGCCAACGATGGGTCCCTTGGCCCAGGCTCTCGCGCCGCAGGCCAACGATGGGTCCTAGGCCCAGGCTCTCGCGCCGCAGCAACGATGGGTCCTTGGCCCAGGCTCTCGCGCCGCAGGCCAACGATGGGTCTTGGCTCCAGGCTCGCGCGCAGGCCAACGATGGGTCCTTGGCCCAGGCTCTCGCGCCGCAGGCCAAGCCTGGGGGGAACCAGTAACTAGCGCCTCAGACTCAATGATCCTAGCGCAACGCTGTCTCTGACGCCGCCGGCCAAAGAATGGATCCTTTACTCAGGTGCCTGCGCCGCAGACCCAAAAAAAGAAGTATTCAAATGCATGGCTTCTGGACGGGGCCCAGTGGAAAAGGGCCGCGAAGCGGTCTTTTTCCACTGGTATATAAATAGGGTAGTTTGAGAAGTTGTGATAAACACCATTCGTATTAGATTTATTTTATTCTTTTTAAGTTTACATAAGGTGTGGTCAATTCATTCATCTCTTCGGCTTTTCGCAAACACCAATCTCCACAGTGCCATCGCACCGCACATCGTTCCAAACACCAGAATCAGATCGCCCGCGGCCGATAAATAGCTGAAGCGAGGAGGGAGGTAAAAGTATGATTTTTAAGGAACTATTAGCTGTTTGTTTCGCCACGACCGACCTCCAAACAATTCTCGATGCCTCCAGAATTCGTCATCTGCGCGAGTGCGTAACTGTTATATGTAATATTTGTCCCGTCTAGCCACTTGAAGTCGAGTTTTCCACTTCCTGTCTAACAGCAAATTCCCCAATTAAAGTTTTAGTCTTACTCGCCGAGCTCCGAGATATATCTTGACTCTGGCAGCGGTGGTGTTCGTCCAAATATCTAAACTGACTTAGAATTATTGATATCCTCGACTTTCTCTCTCACTCTCTCTATCGCTCTCTTTCTCTCTCGCTCTCTCCCCCTCTCTCCCCCTCTCTCTCCATCTCTCTCCCTCTCTCTCTCTTCTCTCTCCGACCATTCACCCATCAAAGCCTGATTCTCCTCAGCCGATCGGATCATCGTCACGACCGAGTTCAATTGCTCGCATTGAGTTATTGATCGATTTAGCGTGCTTTTACCCAAGAACTGAAAAGCTAACTGTTTAGCTCTTTTAACGCACACAGTATACCTTATAACACTTATCTGTAGTGTCAG